AAAAAAGAAAGAAAGAAAGAAAGAAAGAAAGAAAGAAAGAAAGAAAGAAAGAAAGAAAGAAAGAAAGAAAGAAAGATGGTTTATATCTCTGCGCCTCCTTGCAAATTCTTTATGAAGCCAAATTCCCATTAAGTTTTGAAGAAGTTGAAGTAAGAAGGTTTTACACCCCTTAGTTTCTCTTCTCTGTTTTTGGAGTTAGGGACATAATACTTACCAATAATTTTCAGGGGATTTTTGTTGTTATGGTGTGGTTACATCCCGTCTGTTTCTCCAGAAAAGCAGTTGCGCTTTGAAGTCTTGTTTCTCTTCTTCTTCTGTTTCCTTTTCACGTCATGGCTGTTATAAAATGAAGCTGCAGGCGGAGACGGTTTTTGCCTTGCAGTACATATAGTCAGCTTTTAGAAAACCTTTAGGCCCTTGTTAGGAAATCTATAAACAGAAATTAGGAAGCGAGGATTGTAACTCCGTAACTCTGGAGCGGGAGTTACCCTTGGCTAGGTTCACTGAATGTACGGTTTGAACGTGGTCCTTTCCAAGGGTCGGATTTCTACCGGTTCAGACCGGTTCTATAGAACCGGTCGTTACGATTCTGCGCAGTTCGGAGAACTGGCAAATCGTACCCCTGGCTGGCCCCGCCCTTCTCTGCCCGCCCCTCCCCTCCCAGTCAGTCTTTAGCGCGCATGCCCGACATCGCTGACTGCATTCTCCGCCCAGTCCCTTCTTAAGTTATTTCTTTTTTTTCCCGCCCGACGATCAGCTGCTCCGATGATCAGCTGTGCCCAGATCCCACTTGCTGTCTTACTGCTTCACCTGGGAGGCTTCCCTGAGGCCCAGGAGGCAAAAAGGAGCAAGGGGGGGGGCGTGTGGGGATGTGGGCGTGGGGCTGCACCTCTCCCAGGCTCCATTTTTTTTTTGCCTTCCTGGGCCCCAGGGAAGCCTTCTGGGAGCAAAAACGCCCTCCCTTCGCCCCTTTTTGCCTCCTGGGCAAAAAAAATGGCGGGGGTTTGCTGCAAAAAAAGAAGAAGCCACGCCCATCCAGTCACATGGCCACACCCACCTAGCCACACCCACAGAACCGGTTGTTAAACAATTTGAATCCCACTCCTGGTCCTTTTCTTTTTTTTTTTTAAACAAATTTTATTAATTTTCAGACAATGCACAAACAAAACATAAAACATAAGAACATAGAACATCTTTTCTAAAAACTGCTTAACAAAACAAATAAAACATCTTATTTAAGTACAACATAATTCTAAATTATCACGTTTCCACGCACAATTTAATATGCATCTTATATATTCAACTTCATATCTTATTACTCTTTTCCAACTTCTCACTGTTTCTTCCTTTATTTCTATTCAATTTTATTCATTAAACTTATACTTTCATCTATTTCATATTACTATATTTCGTATTATTACTGTTTCATATGTTCTTATCCAACATCATTAATCCTCAATAAACAAACATAAACAAACAAAATACATAACATAAAAACATAAAACTTCTTTTTAGAAGTTCTAAAAACTTCATCCTTTCTAAAAACGAACAAAAGACAGAGGGGATTCTCTTTTCTCATCCTAGGCTGGTGTTTCTCAGCTCTGAGAACTTTGAGTTGGGTGGACAACAACGCTCAGATTTCCCCAGCCAGCTTAAAATTTCCAAGGTTGAAAAACACTGATTCAGGCGCCAAAAAGGTTCGCCATCACTGGGACATTTTGAAAAAAATACTCCTTAGGCCTATAAAGAGAATTTGTATAAGATGTTTTACAGGTGGTATCTATCCCCAATGAGAATTTGCTAAGATGTTTGAAGATAAGTCGGCGAAGTGTTGGAAATGCCAGAAGTTACCAGGATCATATTACCATATGTGGTGGACATGCACAGAGACTAAAAAGTGTTGGGCTAAAATACACATGTGGCTGGAGAAGATGATAAAACAACCTATAGACTTAAAACCAGAGACATTTTTATTGGGAATTTTGCCTGAGGGATACAACAAAGAAATAATGTATTTGATTATTAATATTTTAACAGCAGCTAGGATTGTATTTGCACAAAATTGGAGAAATGAAAAAATTCCAACAGAAGAGGAAGTAATTAAGAAAATAATGGAATGTGCAGAAATGAGTAGATTAACAATGGCGATTAGAGAACAAGAAGAAAAAGACTATTATAAAATTTGGAATCTATTTTATGAATGGTGGATAGAAGAGTAAAGAATTGAATTATATAGGTATAGTATAACATATTGTTACTGATAAATAGATGAGTTAGCGTAAGGAAATGAACTTGAAATATATTATTGAAAGTTAAGGATTTAAAAGTTAAGGTTAATAGAATAAGTGACATGTGATACAAAATATTGATAAGAACAACAGACGAACACAGTACAGAAGCCTGATGATGGCCGATGAGATTCTGCCGAAACGTTGCTACAACTTTAAAAGCACAACTATAATGACGTGGGAAAATACAAACAATAAACAAAGCTGAATACCATACGAACAATTATAAATATATACAAGTTAAATATGTATGATATTATTTTGTGCATGAAGAAATATGTACTCAACTGACACTGTGGAACAGAAAGAAGGTTTTATGTTTGTTTTTGTTGTTGTGATAAAAATAAAAAACTTTTATTTAAAAAAAAAAGTACTTCTTCCCTTCCCTCTCTCCCAACGTAAAACCGTGCAAGGAGGAGTCCCTTTAATCCATGCCCGTTTGAGATTTGACCGTGCCTCCTGTGCAGCCTCTTCCCACGCCAAGTTTGAACAACTGTACCACCTTGGCATCGCCAAGCACCGGTTCACCCCTATTGCCTTTACAAGTTAGCCCTCGGCAGTGGAGGGATTCAGATTTTTTTACTACTGGTTCTGTGGGTGTGGCTTGGTGGGCGTGGCTTGGTGGGCATGGCAGGGGAAGGATACTGTAAAATCTCCATTCCCTCCCCTCCCCACTAACCTGCTTTCCAGCTCCGTTCTCCTGTGCAGGGCAACCAAAGAAGACCCAGCCGATCAGCTGGGACTCAATGGGAGGCAGAGAATAGATGGGGTTGGCAGGGCCAGTCAGAGGTGGGATTGGCCGGTTCTCTGAACGACTCAAAATTTCCACTACCGGCTGAATACCGCCTCTGGCCCTCGGTCTCTGCTTCCCTCCATTTTGCACAGCGTTTCCCATTCCATTTGCGGTTGTTTTTCAGAGTCACATGCCTCTGTGCGCAGTTTGAGTCCGTCCTTCAGCATGGTTTGAAGAGGACCCGGGGGTTAGCTTTGACCGCCGCCGCCATCAAGCAAGTCACCGGTTTCTCCAGTAAAACTGAAATGGGTAAATTTAGCCTTCTAGCATGCTTGCCTCTCCCTCATTCTCGCCCCCAGCCCCCAAAAGCTTCCTTCTGTGCCAACTGAACTCATTTCAACAGCATCGCGGGGAGGAAAAAGACGATGACTGTTTCTACCTGAGTTGAAGCTTGGTTGGGCCTCCTTATGATGGTTATTGTTTCCCATGTTGGGCACATCTCTTCTGTTGTGGTTGTGTGCCTGGGGGTGCTCTTTTCGGGGGCGGGGGGAACACTTGGCTGTGGATCTCTTTCCTAAAAATAGAATAGAATAGAATAGAATAGAATAGAATAACAGAGTTGGAAGGGACCTTGGAGGTCTTCTAGTCCAACCCCCTGCCTAGGCAGGAAACCCTACACCACTTCAGACAGTTATCCAATATCTTAAAAACTGATTAATTGTTCTGTCAGAGTTGCGATATTGAGATGGATAGCCAAACTTCAAGCGTACTTGTGAATCTACTTTTTTCTCCCCAGAATCCATATTTTGGTACTATGTGAAAGAAGTTCTTAATAAACACGAACTGCAACGTTTCTATTCCCTGAGAAACATCACTACGGATACAGGTCGAGGACGGGCTTGGCTACGCTGTGCTCTCAATGAACATTCCCTAGAAAGATATTTGCATATGTTGCTTGCAGATAAAAACCATCTTAGGTAAGTTTTCTAAATGTCCCTCTTCATGGGCATGGTTTTGGAAACGGGATTTTTAGCTAGATGTAGTTCTTAGTAGAAGAGAATATTTGTAGCTCGTGGTTGAACTGGGGGGTTTCTCTGAGCTTGGTTGCTTTCTGGCAGACATTTCATTACCCAAATACGTAACATCATCAGTGCTGGAAGGGAGTGGAGTTTGCAGGAGGAGGAGGAGAAGGAGGAAGAAGAAGAAGAGGAAGACTGTGGGGTCCTTGATGCTCTGTGAGCTTAGTTGTTTTCTAGCAGACGTTTCATTACCGAAATAGGTAACATCATCGGTGCTGGAAGGGAGTGGAGTTTGCAGAGGGAGGAGAAGGAGGAGGAGGAAGAAGAAGAAGTGGAAGAGGAGGACTGTGGGGTTCTTGATGCTCTATGAACTGAGTTGTTTTCTAGCAGACATTTCATTACCCAAATAGTTAACATCAGCAGTGCTAGAAGGGACTTGAGTTTGCAGGGAGAAGGAAGAGGAGGAGGAGGAGGAGGAGGAGGATCTCTGCGCTTGGTTGTTTTCTGGCCGATGTTTCATTACCAAACTAGGTCACAGCATCAGTGCTAATAATAATAATAAAACGAATATTTGCCATTTGTCTCAAATTGTATTGGCTCTCCTGCCATGGGCAAAAAATTTGGACTAGGAGACCTCCAAGGTCCCTTCCAACCCTATTACAGGTAGTCCTCAACTTATGATAGTTGAGCCCAAAATTTCATCTGCTAAGCAAGACAGTTGTTATTTTCTTTTTTTCTTTTTTCTTTTTAACCCTGCCTTTTTGTCTTCAGCGTCTTCTATGAAGACTGGTCCTTCTTGATGGACGAAGAACGATCCAGTATGATTCCCACCATGGCAGCTGGTAAGCATGGCCCCAACGTCTTAGGACCAAGCCAAGGCAGCTTTAAAAGCTTCTGGGTTCCTTCGTTTGTCTAACTATCATTGAAGCAAATCACCTCAGCTGCACCCTACGGAATAATCTGCAGCAAGGGTTTGTGTACTGACCTGAAGTACACAGTGTGGTTTACAAGCCATAATAGCTTCACTTGGGAACTAACAATCACTGCGGATCATGCCGTCCAGCAGTGGGATCCGACCAGGGGTGGAATTCTACTGGTTCTCATCTGTTCGATAGAACCGGTTGTTAACTTTCTAAGCAGTTCGGAGAACCGATTGTTGGAAGAAATCTCCTTTTGTTTTTTTTCCACCCTTTTTACTCTCTTGGCAGTATGCCTAGACTTAATGTCTCCAAAGTAGGTTCTTTTTTCCCCTTTACTGGTACTTTCTTAAAGGGGAAGGGTTGTTTTAAGCTTTTTACAGTGCTGTTGGGAGGAAATACTCCCCCGTTGGAGTTAGCACTTTGGAGAAATAATTGAATAACAAAACAGAGCTGCCAGAAAGAAGCTTTTAATGACAAGGAACCAAGATGAGTGACATTCAACAAGGCTTCTTGGCTAGCTAGAAAGATTGACATTCAAGCGTGAGTTTACATACCCTTTTTGAATTTTGGTCTAAAACTGGTGGCCATTTAAAGTTACAATGGCACTGAAAAAAGTGACTTATGACCATTTTTCACACTTACGACCATTGCAGCATCCCCACTGTCATGAGAGGCCAGGCGAGGAGAAGCGCCCCTCGATGTGAGTGACCACATCAAGTTGGCCACGCCCAGCCAGTCACATGACCGCCAAGCCATGCCCACCAACTAAGCCACACCCACAGAACCGGTTGTTAAAAAAAATTTGAATCTCACTCCTGGATCCTACCTGTTTTATTACCGGTTTGGTGACGGTGCACCCGCGCACCTAATACGTGCACACAGCTTTCCCCACAATGGCTGAGAAAATAAAGAAGAGAAAAGCAGAGGTGGGAGGGCCGATCCTGCGCTTTTCTCTTCTTTCTCATCTCAGCTGATCGTGGGAAGCTTTTTTTTACAACCAGTTCGGCCGAACCAGTCCAAACCGGTAGCCTACCACCGCGGACAACGTCTCTTCTTGGAACTCAATAGTCCCATTGGAATCAATTCAGGCTGACCCTAAAAGGTTGTTGTTGTTGTTTTCTGTTTCTGCTTTATACCAAAGGGCTGAACTCGATTCTTTTTGCAATCAACATCGACAATAAGGATTTAAATGGACCGAGCAAATGCCCACCCTCTGTCTCCGACCTTCTCAAGGAATCCACCCAGAACGTGACCTCTTTGCTGAAGGAATCCACCCAAGGGGTCAGCACCCTCCTCCGGGAGATCACATCTTCCTCTCCCGTTTCCATGCTAATCAAATCGGATCAGGATGCTGACCTCCTACCTATTTTATCCAAGAGTGTCAGTGGCGGTACGTGCTCTTTGCTTAATGACCGGTGGCTTCGGGACTGTTCAAAGTGGGAACAGCCCCTTCCCTCCCCAAAGTGACTTACGACCGGATTCTGAAGTTCTGACAGCTGCACAGACTCACCCCACCTGCAGTCCCACGACCACATTACGAACACTTGGCAACTGGCTAATGTTTATGGCTAGTTACTGTGTTCTGCAGTCATGTGAACATGATTTAACAGTGTATTTTGCCAGTTTCTTGATTCACTTAATGACCATGATGTTTGCTTAATGATCGCCACAAAAAAAGGCATAAATTCAGGTCAGGTCATGTTTACATTTACATATACATATACATATACATATATATACACATACACATACACACACACACACACACACACACACATATATAAATATCTCTATCTTCATAATGTCTATCTACTTATCTGTCTGTCTATCCATCCATCCATCCATCCATCCATCCATCCATCTATCTACTGTATCAGCTATATCTATTTATCTATCTATCTATTTATCTATCTATCTATCTATCCACAGACATACGTACATACGTACATACATACATAAAAGTAAGACATTGGGATCCAAGCAGTTTCATATGTTGAAGGAGAGAATGCAGCTTTATTATCCTGGTTCTATGAATATTGTAGACCAAAATTTATCTGTGTAAACTGAGAAAAAGAATAGCTTATTGCCCTGCGATTAAAGCATTCCACCACAAGTTAACCCCTTGAACTCAGTTTGGACATCCCATTCCCATTCAAAAATAGTAGAACAGTCCTAATCTTGCAAGCCCTTTGGGTTAAGGCTGGGGTATCTAACCTTGGCAGCTTTAAAATCCCTATGGACTTCAAACTCCCAGAATTCAATTCCCAGCATGGCTGGCTGGGGAATTCTGGGGGTTGAAATCCACAGGTCTTAAAAGTTGCCAAAGTTGGACTCTCCACCCCCCCGAGTTAAAGTCTTCCTTTTGGGTCCTCCTTTCCTTCCTTCAGATTTAAAATGCCGGAAAGATCGCACGAAGAAAAAGAAGAAAGTCACAAAAATCATTTCGTTCGATGATGAAGAGGGCCTCCTTTTGGGGACCCCCATACGGGGGACAGCGGCAGGGGAAGACTCCGAAGATGGCTGCGACAGACTGTCAGCCTCGGCAGCTTCTTCGGTAACTGAACAGATGGATCTTCTGCCCGGCAACCAGGAAGACACGTCGCTGAAACATCATTCTGAGTACCTGAACGGAGACTGCAGCTACCTGAAACTAGATGTCAAAAGCATAGATGATGAAGAGGCCGAAGAGAACGAGGAGAACCACACCAGAACATTGAGGAACCACAGTGTGATGGAAGACGCACAGGTGCTCGCAAAGTGAGTCTGGATCAAATACAGGTAGTCCTCGCTTAATGACCGTTCGAGTTTACGATGGATATCCCCCCCCCCCCCACAAGATACTCATTATCTGTCCTTGAAATTACAATTCCCCCTGGTGGTTATGTAATTGTCAGATGTGCCACAACTTAAACCTCCAAATTAAAAACAACAACCCTTGGCTTCATTTGTAGAGAAAGGTATAGTTTATTATATTTATTATATTTTATTTATTTATTTATTTATTTATTTGATTTGATTTGATTTGATTTGTCAATTGCTTACAAGATAACAGGTATAAGTATAAACATAGTTATGAATACATGAAATGAGTACGTATAAGAAAAATAAAAAAGAAACAATAGGACAGGGACGGTAGGCACGTTAGTGCGCTTATGCACGCCCCCTACAGTCCTCTTAGGAAAGGGGTGAGGTCAATAGTAGAAAGTCTAAGGTTAAAGTTTTGGGGTTTGGGGAAGAAACCACAGAGTCAGGTAGAGTATTCCAGACATTGACCACTCTGTTGCTGAAGTCGTATTTCCTGCAATCAAGTTTGGTGCGATTAACCTTGAGTTTGTATCTGTTGTGTGCTCTTGTGTTGTTATGGTTGAAGCTGAAGTATTCATTGATTGGTAGGACATTGCAATGTATGATTTTATATACTATACTTAGATTAGAGATCAAGTGCATTGCAGTAGTGCAAAGCCAGAACTGAGAATCACGAGCCCAAATCCCTAAGTTGTACTTTTCCCTCTTTAACTACCTCTCATTGCCCACCCTGGTGTAACCAATCAGGTTCAGGCAAGATGTATTCATAGCGATCAGTCTGAGTGCAGTTTGGTATGTGGTCCCTCTCCTTCCAGCTACGAACCAGTTTGACATGCGGCCCCCCCTCCTTCTTCTGGCTGGCAGACCTTGAGGCAGCATCTCAGCCCTTACTTTCGCTTCCCCAGGCATTCCTCCATCCCTTCTCTCTCCCCGCAGCCTGTCATTGCATAGCAGCAAAGCACAGACAAGCCTAAGGTGGCAGATGCTAGTACTAGCTAGCATTTCATCTACTTGGCAACCAGCTCATATTTACATCGTGCTTTCACATGATCATGATTTGCAATGTTTTATTGCCAGTTGGTGATGTTTTTGGCCAGTGTCCGGCGAAAATCACTGCCTTCAGGAGATTGAGTTGAGCTAACTTGCTTGGGTGACTTGGGTTTGCTCAATGAGAGTTGTTTTACAACTGTTGCAAAATTGAGTCGGGTCCCATGGTGGCTCGTTGAACAGCGTCAGTGACTTACGGCCAAAATTCCAGGCTCAGTTGTGGTTGTTAAGTGTGGTTGTTACCTCTAGAGACATTTTTGTGCCTTAATTCAAGTATGGGCTGTTCGTTTATGGTATCCTGTGCTTTGTCACATATGTGAGAAACCCCCAGAATCTGCCTCCTTTTATTCCCTTCCAGGTTTTGCCTTAGAAATCGAACAACCACTTTTGAGAATTCGTTAAATTTTGTTGTCAGGTTTCCAAGTGATGAAATCCATTTTAAAAAGAAAGAACAAAGTCCATCTTCCAAGACAATTTCTTTTATTTAGAAAAGCATCAAATTGGCAAAGTCCGTGGTAATTCCGGATCTGACACAACGCGGAATTACCCCACAATATTAGAAGTTAGAAACAGCCCCCAAAAGTCACATTCTCCAAAAGAAGTAATTCAACGTTGCCTGATGTCATAAATCTGCACCTCAAGGGGCCTGAGCATGGTCAGCTCATTTTCCCACGGGAAGAAGAATCACCTAGCCTAAACAATTCTCTCTATTTCTACTACTCCCCCCTTAGGAATGTGGCAAGCCTGAAACCCTTCCCCTCATGACCGCCAAAGAAAAAATAAGAAAAAGAATATATACTATATACTAAACCTAACTAAAATGGCTACACATATGTCAATTTCGGGCTTCACATTTGTAGCCTTTGAACTTAACATTTCATAGAAAGGCCACCATGTAGATTGACCAGTAGTGACCAACCTTGGCCATTTTTAGACTTGTGGACTTCAACTCCCAGAATTCACCCAGCCAGCTAAGCTGGCTGGGGAATTCTGGGAATTGAAGTCCACGGATCTTAAAGTGGCCAAGGTTGGACATCCCTGTGTTAGATTAAGTCCTTTTCCACCACTTACTATTTGGGGGGTTTGTCTTAATTAACTAGACCCGCTGAAGGTGTGATGTCCCATTCGCTGGTTTGCACGGGGACGCCTCTACAAGTGCTGAACGATGACGCGGATGAATTGTTCCCAGTCAACGCTGTGGGTTCTTTCTCCCAGAGTGGTAAGTAGGTTTGATACCACTTACATATCCTCCTGCGAGTCCCTTGGACTGCAAGGCCATTCAATCGGTCAGTCCTATAGGAGATCAACCTTGACTGCTCTTTAGAAGGCCAGATCCTGAAGATGAAACTCAAAGACTTTGGCCACTTCATGAGAAGGAAGGACTCTCTGGAGAAGAGCTTAATGCTGGGAACGATGGAGGGCAAAAGAAGAAGAAGGGGACGGCAGAGAAGGAGGGGGCTTGTGATGACCTGGGGTGTGGCACAAAGGCAACACAGTCAGATAATCAACAGGAGTCCCTTTAATATCTCCAACTTTGCCCCCAGTGTCCAGGTTATCTTCTGGCTGGAGAAAATCTCTCCCAGGAACAGCCTTTGACTGCAGGGAATCAAGTCCAAAACAGGGTCAACAAAAACTGTAATTTTTAAGTCCAATCAAGCCAAACTGAGGTAATTACTTTGGCAGGGCAGGAGCAAGAATTTCAGACGTGAAGGCATGGCAAAACTCACATGGTTGGAAAGATGCCAGGAACACAGATAAGCAAAGACAACACAGGATAAAGTCACGTTTGCTCCCAGCAGCTGCCGTAGTTAGCATGCATCTCTTTTAAATTCCCAGGTGTGCCTAATGAAGGGAATCGGCGCCCTTTCCTCCCCCGTAAGCCACCCAACTCACGTTGCTCCCTTCTCCGTTCCTTCCTGCATGCCCTAGGATGAAGAGGGGGTGGACCTGGGTCTTTCTCTGAACTCCCTCTCCCTTGTTCTACCTCTCCCCTGATCTGCCCAGCCGGCCTTTGCCCTTCCCCAGTTTCCTCCACAGCCAACGGAGCCACACTCCTACTCCCTGTCAGCTGTTCATCCTCCTCCTCGGATCCAGACTCCGGGCTTGTCAGGGCTGGATGGATTCCCGGAAGCAGTTGGTGTGAGCTTAAATGGACTCTGGAGGATGGCAGAGGACAGGAAGGCCCGGAGGAACGACTTTGCAACTAGCAAAAACAACAACATCCCCACTGTGGTCTCAAAGGGGCTTTTTCCGATTTGGCAACTGGGCTTTCTTGTTTTTGTTTTTTTAATGTTTTCCTTTGAAAACGTTTCGCTTCTTTTCTAAGAAGCTTCCTTCAGAACTGACCATCACGCCATCTCTGTGGTCACTTGATCAGAATTGAGTTGCTTGGCAACCAGGTGGCCCTTGACTTATAACCAGCCGTTCTTTTAGTGACAAAGTTACTAAAAGTTCTAAGTTACAATGGCACTGAAAAAAAGGGAATTACGACCGTTTCCATTGCAGCATCCCCAGGGGCATCCCGGGATCCAAATTCAGAGGTTTGGCAACTGGCATGTACTTATGACAGTTGCAGAATTTCAGGGTCACGTGATTCCCCTTTTGTGACCTCTGACAAACAAAGTCAATGGGGGAGAAGCCAGTTTCACCTGACAACTGCAGTGATTCACTTAACAAGTGCGGCAAGAAAAGTCGTAAAAATGGGGCAAAACTCACTTAACAACCGTCTTGTTGTTTAGCAATGGAAATGTTGAGTTCAGTTGTGGTTGTAAATCCAGGACTATTTATAGTCAAGAACTGGGTTGTTTTTTTTAGCAACTACGTTCCTAACTTCTGCCAGCATTTTATTGTTTAAGTTGCATAATATAGGAACTTTTTTTTTTTTAAAAAAAGAATTCTATGCCAGCTAGTCGTTTTATATAAATTATGCTTTTATTTCCTTCCCATGCCATTCATTATGGGGAATTCCAACGCAGCGGACAATTTAGACCATGAATTATTAAAAAATCTAATAGAAGAGAAGAAAGCCATTATGCAGCGGCCATAAAAGAAAAGAAAGCAATAATAAAATTCAATTATGCCCAGGATAAGTTGGTTGAGGAGAGTTTATGTTTAGGACATTAGAGCTTATACGAGGAAGGTTAGGCTTCGGGGCTATAAAATTGTAGGAAGAAAAGTTTTTTAACCCATTTGTTTTCATTTCCCATTTCCCTAGCACCCAATATTCTGATCCCTGGCTATAAAAGCTCTGAAGGAGGGTAGCCAAAGGAGGTCTGAAGACATAACCAAGCTGACCATCTAAAACTAGGTTTTCAAATAGCATTAAGCTATGGTTTGTTTAACCATGACCTTTGGGATAAAACAGCCATTGTCTGGGTTTACAAAGGAGGCTGCTGCGAAGCCGAACAAATCACATCCAGGTTGTGCAACCCGTCAGTAATTTTACTCCTTGCAGTAATCATCATTGGAGTGACCTTGCTCCATGTTGAAGGTGTTGGCTGTAACACTTAATTCTTGGCAAAGGAGGTTTTCGATGTTAAATAAAGGAGTACGATAAATTTCAGCATCCAGATTTTAGAATAGAATAGAACAGAATAGAATAGAACTTTATTGTCAATTTAAATGTACACTAATCAGCATATATTAAAATGAAATGAGAAAGGAGAAGGGGAGGGAATAGAATGGAATAGAAGACAGTAGAGTAGAGCAGAGTAGAGTATGGAATAAAAATAAAACAGACAATAGAGGAGAGTAGAGTAGAGACTAGAGACTAGAGAGTAGAATAGAGTAAGAGTACAGAGTAGAGTAGAGTAGAGTAGAGTAGAATAGAATAGAATAGAATAGAATAGAATAGAATAGAATAGAATAGAATAGAATAGAATGTAGGACAGGACAGGACAGGACAGAATTCTTTATTGGACGCACAAGGAATTTGTCTCTGGTGCATAAAGTCACAGTGTACATAAAAGCAACAAGTAATAAGCATTTAGTTTGCAGATGTTGCAGAAAGAGAGTGGTGTTAATGTATGGCAGCTAAAAACCAGAAAGAATTTAGTAACAACTTTTCCAAGTAACATTTCTTTTTTCTCAAGGTATACATTTTAATGGAAAGCTTACACCTTTTAATAAGACTTGTTAGTTGGAAAAAATGCTGCCAGACTCCTTCCGGTGTTTAATTTAATGTATTGTTATTTCTCCACCTCGAAATTTTCATCCGGAGGGGAATTTCTCCGACACAGATGAATTTGGAGTGGAATTTAACAAGTCAGCAGACAAAAGAGAATGTGTTGTGATAGCAGAATAGCAGAATAACTGAGTTGGAAGGGACCTTGGCGGTCTTCTAGTCCAACCCCTTGCTCAAGCAGGACACCCTGAAAGACAAATGGTTGTCAGATGTCTTCTTAAAAATCTGCAGTTATTGGAGTATGCACAACTTCTGAAGGCAAGCTGTTCCACTGATTAATCGTTCTCTCTTTCAGGAAATTCCTCCTTGATTCCAAGTTGCTTCTCTTCTTGATTAGTTTCTATTTGTTGCTTCTTGTCCTGCCTTCAGGTGCTTTGGAGAATAGCTCTTGTTAGTGGCAGCTTCTTAGATAATTGGAAGAGTGCTTTCATATCTCCCCTAGTCCTTCTTTTCATTAGTCCAGGCCTACCTAGTTCCTGCAACCATTCATTTAAAATCAACAACGAAGATGTATGGGCAATCAGAACCCAAATTTATATTACATTCTAGCACAGGGGTCTTCAGACTTGACAGCTTTTAAGACTTGTGGACTTCAACTCCCATAATTCCTCCTCCAGGCATGTTAGCTCAGGAATGCTGGGAGTTGGAAGTCCACAAGTCTTAAAGGTGTCAAGTTTGAAGATCCTTGCTCTAGCAAGTGGGAACTTGCTTCTTTTCCATCCTTCAGCTGCTTTGGAGAATAACTTGACCCCCTCTTCTTTGTGGCAACCCCTTAGATATCGGAACCCTGCTATCATGTCACCCTTAGTCCTTCTTTTGTGTGTATGTGTGTAGAGTTGAAAAAGGGAAGAACTATAAGTCTAGGAGGATAATATGCCAAACTTTTACTAACATATACCTTTCTATCGGCTACTTTAGAAAACCTGGAAGACGGCAATGAACATGAAAATGCAGATTTTTCAGTAGAATTGACTCAGAGCAATGCTGAATTGCACTACAGGTAATTAACTTATAAATTAAAAGGTCGTTCAACAAAATCACCAACCCACAGATAGTCCTCAACTTGCAACAGTTCATTTAGTGGCTGTTCGAAGTTATAACAGCACCGAAAGAAGGGACTTATGGTCAACTTCCACACTTACGACTGTTGCAGCATCCTCAAAAATTACCTGATCAAAATTCAGCCACTTGACCACTGACTCACAGTTATGACGGTTGCAGCATCCCGGGGTCATATGATCCCCTTTTGTGACCTTCTGACAAACCAAGTTCATGGGGAAGCCAGCTCCACTTAACAACCATGTTACTAACTTAACTGCGGTGATTCACTTAGCAACTGTGGCACAAAAGGTCCTGCTGTTTTAGACGCTGGCCATTCTGAAGTCGGTTGAGTTGAGCTAAATCATCTTATATTCATACGTCTTGATGCCAGAGTTTAGATTTGAACGATGTAGTGGTCCGCGTTGGCTATAGAAGACTTCTGTTCTGACCCGAGATCGTAATTAAGCACACGCTTAGTTAAAACAAATCTTGTTTTATTTCAACACTGGGAATTGTTTTCATTCCCAGCTGGTAATGAGTCCCAAACAGTCCCTCGAGTTAAGCACCCACTTTTCTCTCCTTTGAATTGCTGCCAACAACTCAAGTGCCGAAGTAACTATAAAAAGCCAACTGAAGTACAAAGAGCTTCAAGGATTAGTCCAAACAGAATGAACGACTTTGCTTCCTGCAAAGGTTTCGTCACCTTAGCCTGTCCTTTATACCTTAGGGGAGGGGCAATCACCTCAAAGTCTTACTCTCAAGTTGCCCCTTTTGTTTCAACTGCTCTTGCCTTCTAGCAGCTCTGCGCATACGCGCACTGGGAACAGGCTCCCTTTGTTCCTCAGCCTTGCTGCTGCCAGACTCTGGAGGCTCCTGAGTCAGCACCCCACTCCCAGATGGTCCTGGCCCCATCTCTGCATCGGACGCAGGACCCTCGTCCGAGTCCTCCCCAGGGTCCCAGACTGGTCCCCGTTCTTCCCCACTGTCCGATTCTGCTGCCTTCTACACAGGCTGCCGGCAAACCACAACAACAACTTTAGCTAGCCTAGTCCATATTAATGAGAATTGAGGGTTCCAGGCTGCAAAGGCTTCTGAACGGAATGATTTGATTAAGCTGGAGCGAATTACTTGCGACTCTTGTTTGAGTTGTTCTAATTGTTTTAGGTTGCTTTTTCTTTTTCTTTTTCAAACCAATCTTCTGAAACCAGCTCTCCTGTCCAAAAGAATGCATTAACCGAACTTCTGCCTTCGGATAACGTACCAGAATCGATGACTGTGGGTAGGTAGCTATTCGACTGTATTTGGAATTTATTTTGTTTTTTTTTTAATCCTTTCGATCCGGGGAAAACATTTTGTTAAAACAGGTTTCCATCTGGGGAGACCCTCAAAAGTAGGTTTGTTGAGGGTTTGTATTTGCTGCTGGTTGCTGCTAAGTATTTTTAAATATTGGCCTAAACCACAAACATTTACCTTTCAGAGCTGAAGGAGAGGCCAAATCGCTTCCTCTAGGCCTGTGATGCTTAACCTATGGCATGCCACAAGTGGCACCCAGAGCCATTTCTGCTAGCACGCGAGCCCGCAGGCAAACTTACTTCACTGCGCAGGCACGTGCCTCACAGCTTATTTTTTTTTGGTCTGGTTTGAGGCCCTTTTCGGCCTCTCAGAGGCTTGAAAAAAGCCTCTGAGGGCCGAATAGGCCCGTTTCATCACTTCTTGTAATACCGGAAGTGATGAAATGGGCCTATTCAGCCCGCAGAGGCTTTTTTCAAGCCTCTGGGAGGCCGAAAAAGGCCTCAAACCAGGCAAAAAAAACACCAGCTGTGAGGTGCAGTGCAGATAAGGGGCGGTGGTGGCGGGTTGGTAGTGGTGGGATTGTGCGTGCATGTGCAGGGGGCGTGTGGGGCATGCATTGCCTTCCGGGTGCTGGCACTTGAGGCGTGTGCACTAGTGCGCACACAATTTTTGGCACAGGAGCTCAAAAAGGTTAGCCACCACTGCTCTAGGCTGTTCCAGTATCAGGAGATGGAGTTCCTTTCTGTGTGAATGCTGCTTGACTGATTATTTTATGAACCTCATCATAGTACAGGTAGTCCTTCATTACAACGGGTCATTTAATGACCGTTTGGAGTCACAGCGGCACTGAAAAAAAGGGACTTATGTTCATTTTACAACCCAGGCAGCCTCCCTACGGCCACGCGATCAGTATTCAGATGCTTGGCGACTGACTCATACTTATGACCGTTGCAGCATCTTGGGGTCACATGATCCCCTTTTGAAACCTCCTGACAAGCCAAGTCAACAGGAGGAGCCAGGTTCACCGAACAACCACGTTACTGGTGTATCAACTGCAGCGATTCGCTTAACAACTGTGTCAAGAAAGGTTGTAAAACGGGGCAAAACTCACCATTACGACCACAAGGGAGCCCGAACATTTTGTGGCAACATGAAACAACGAAAGTTTGAGCTCAACTGTGGCCGTAAGTCAAGGACTCCCTGAGAAACGGTTTTGATCCAAGGAAGATCAGTAACATCAGTTATCCGACAGAGGGCAGCGTTGCCTTTGTGTTTGCTGATCCTCTATCTCTACATCCAGCAAATTGACTTTTTTTCCAAGTGGTTTTGCTGCATTTCAAGTGGATGAAAGCAAACTCGATTCGCAGACAGCCAGGAAGATGACTTACTTCAGGGTCCCTATCCTTAAAAAAAATATAAACTCATCAGGGTTGTGAACGTTGAAAGAAAAAAACGATCCAGAAGATGTACTCGCACGAATGCTGTGAATCTCTCCCGTTTATTAAAAAGAGTAACTTTCCTCCTCCTGGTTTCTAACATGAGCCTGCAAAAGAGTTACAGTGCGATATATATATATGTGTGTGTGTGTGTGTGTGTGTGTGTGTGTGTGTGTACACATACATATATATTTGTTTTCTATACATACACACACATACACAGACACACAGACACACAGACACACAGACACACACATATATATATATACACACACACATGTACACACACACACGCGCGCACACACACACACACACACACACACATGTATCGCAAAAGATTTGTTTTTTAATGAGTAGCTTTTTCCCCCCACTTCTTCCCCCCCCCCCCAAGGGAACAGCTTCTGAACAATGAAGCTTCCAGCCTGTTGCATAGCAACTTAACCCGCTAAACATGTAGCAGGTGTAACATACGGAAGACGGGATGACGTGAAAGCCGTGTCAGCTCTCCCAACAAGCGGTTTTTAGCAGCCTTGAAACATGTGGGAGCTGAGCGAGAACGTTTCCTGCCTTCCAAGTCTCTTGTTTTAAATAACTTTGTCAACTTTCGAAAGGAGACAACAAAGTTAGAAAAGAAATAAAATTAGAAAAGGAAAAGGCCTCTGAAAGGAACAAAAGGATAAGTGTAAGTGTGCATGTGTGTCTACACACACACACACACTTATACACACACACACACTTATACACACACACACACAGACACACACAATCATTTTATAATCATCATTTTAGCCAGGATGCTAAATGATGAAGGCATCTTCCCCATGTTTCCAACCAATACGGTACATCCACCCCCCAGAGTATATATAAATAGAGAGAAGAGAGAGAGAGAGAGGGAGGGAGGGAGGAAGAAAGAAAGGAAAGAAAGAAGGAAGGAAGAGAAAGAGGGAAGGAAAGAAGGAAGGAAGGATGGAAAAACGACTTCTGACTTTTCTTTCATCAAAACTGTCAATTTCCCTATCTCTGCCAATTCCACCCCTTTCGGTGTCCCTTGTTGCATGGTAGGTATCTATAACTCCTTCCACCCTTGAGCATATAAAAAGCCCCATTGCCGTTATCGTATATAAAAACAAAGGTCCATAAGAAGTTTCCGTTTGTTTGTCCATTAATGTAGGAGAAAAGCAGGCAGAGCTTGTGGAGGTAGAGTTAAGAGAATCATCAGCTTAGAATCATTACATTGCCACAAACAGTTCAATAGCTCTTGAATTCTGTTGAATTTATCTGGTGCCAGTTTAGTAGTGCACTTTACTTAGCTGGATTGAAGCTTGAGCAATAAATCTCCTGAACTGGAACTTAATGCATAAAACTGATACTTTGTGCCTGAAAATTAAATCCAAAAGAAAAGTCTGCAGTTTTTGACTCTCTGCCAAGCCTGGAAGCCAATTTTTATTTTTCATTGGGATGCTATTTTATCAACACCCCAAAAAAGTAGATGCACGCTGATAAATCATTTCATTTCCCCATCGTTCTCAAGAGTGCTTTGCAGCCTCAGGTGGTTTAGATTAGCCATGGAAAGTGTTTTAAATTAACACCTTGGCCTGAGGAGATGGTTGTGTGCTTGTGAACAGGCTCACTGTGTTTTCTGCAGATAAACCACTCAAATGTGCTAATTTGGAGAAGCAAAACATTGCCAGCTTTAACTGGAGACTTTGGGGGAAATTGTGATATGTGCATTTGATACCAATCATTTGTAGAGGAAATCCTTGCTAAGCTCCTTCTACATTGTGGATCTTTTGTTGCTCTCTGAACTTGATTGTTTCCTTGCAGATGTTTCATGACCCAACTAGGTAACATCATCAGCGCTGGAAGGCTGTGGGGTTTGCTCTCTGTTTTACATACAAGTGGCTTGCCCACTCCACTTCTTTCTAGCTCTGATGATGTTACCTAGTTGGGTGATGAAACATTTGCAAGAAAACCAAGCTCAGTTATCACCAAGAACCCCATAGTCATTCTCCTCCTCCTCTTCCTCCTCTTCTTCCTCCTCCTCTTCTTCTTCTTCTTCTTCTTCTTCTTCTTCTTCTTCTTCTTCTTCTTCTTCTTCTTCTTCTTCTTCTTCTTCTTCCTCTTCCTCTTCCTCTTCCTCTTCCTCTTCCTCTTCCTCTTCCTCTTCCTCCTCTTCCTCTTCCTCTTCCTCTTCCTCTTCCTCTTCTTCCTCTTCTTCCTCCTCCTCCTCCTCCTCCTCCTCCTCCTCCTCCTCTCCACAAACCCTACCTTCTACTAGCACTGATGATGCTGCCTAGTTGGGTCATGAAACATTTGCAAGTAAACCAAGCTCAGTTATCACCAAGAACACCATAGTAATTCTCTTCTTCCTCCTCCCCCTCTCCACAAACCCTACCTTCTACTAGCACTGATGATGTTACCTAGTTGGTCATAAAACATCTGCAGTAAAACAACCAAATTCAGAGAGCACCAGGGACCCCACAGTTCAGGCCCAAGCTACAAATATTTTCTTCTATCAGGCCGTCTTTATTTGGAAAGATACTGGTCTAATAACCAACTGATTTGGTGTCATTACTGTTGTATTTCCCTTCTCTCGAAACCAGCATAACTTTTGAGTGTTCGGAGGACTTTTGGTTGGGGGCGGGGGGGGAAGCTGTTTTAGGAAGTGCTGATAGCCGTTTGTGTTAACTAAAACAGTCAAAATAAGAAAAATGAAGTCAACCGAACTCTAACTGAAACACAAATATCTGTGTTTATACGGCGTGAATTTAAGAACTGTTCTGCATGAGATGACTAAGTGTTCATTACAAAGAATAATAGACTTAATTTTGTCTACTTTTTTTCCCCCCCCAAGAGGAACTTCGGCAAGCTATTGTAGCTATGATGAACAGAAAGCATGAACTAGAAGAACAGACTAGGTAAAACAAATGATGCTTTGGGTCAGTTCTGTGGAAAGCGCGCGCACGTCATTATATGTGGACAGAGGTTGACTTGAAGTTCGATTGGAGGTTGAGCAATCCTTTACTTTGATAAACAAGGAGAACAGCAGATCTGAGGCTGAGTAGTTCTACCCTTGCCAGGTCCAAGCCCCAAAAGACAACCCAGTGAAATCCGGTCAAGTTCAATCCTTTATTTGCTTATCCCTAATAGACAGAATCTTGCCACACTTTAGTTATAACCTTCCAATCTAATACGGTAGATATACTCGGAGAGATTCTCGGGTGTGGCTACCCTAAACCCCTTCCTACCCTCCCCATTCAGTTCAGGACTGTGTCGTCTCTTGTCTTGGGGCCCCCTCTAGAATATCCTGAGAAACCATTGTGCTCTTCTCCAGCCTGCAATTGTTTCCCAGAAGTTCCACACCTGGCATTGGTTACATCTTGATTCCACGGGGAAGTAGCTCGGGGCGTGCACAGTTGTGTTGAACCAGAGCGCTTGTTGAGTGCAAGAGATCTCTAAATAGATGTTTGTACATGCTCTGAGACCAATTGCACGCTTGCTTATTTGTGTACTCATGCTATGATTCTGCTTCCTCTAGGGCAGGGGTGTCAAACTCGATTTCATCGAGGGCCACATCAGGGTTGCATTTGACCACGGGAAGCGGGGGGGCATGGCCAGGGTGGGCGTGGCCAGCTTGCCGTCACTCATGTCGGAGCCTGTGGTGGCCCGAGTGCTCTGCCAGCGAAAATGGAGCTCAGGAGGGCCACCTGCTGGCAGAGAGTAGCAGGAGGAAACGGAGCTTGGGAGGGTTGTGCATGGCCCTTCCGTTCTCTGTTTTTGCCAGCAGAGGCACTGAAGGCTTGTCCTTCCCTGTTGTTCTGACCTAGACTTCACAAAAGCACAGAGAAGACTCCTCGTCCCGACAAAATCACTTTTTATTAGGCTGATGTGAATTCCTATTATTCACACCCAGCAAAGTCCCGGCAAACAGTCTTTCAAGAGTGATTTATAACCAAAGACCTTATCAGGCTTGGAGAGTTGCCAGGCCAATAGCTCCCAAGCACAACACTTTAGCAGAAAATACTTGGCAAGGAGTCAGGAACAAAGCTTCACACTAATTAGACGAACTGATTGTCTCCTGCAAACACCACTCCTCTTTCGCTCCTCTTTATTCCTTTTGGGAGGGGCCATTCACCCTCCACCTGTGCCTTTACTCCTGAGTCGACCCTTGTTCCTTAACTGTTCCCTTTTCCTGGCAGCTCTGTGCATGTGCACACTGGGAAAAGGCTCCAGCTGTTCTTCTGCCTCACTGATGTCCGAATCCAAAGACAGCTGATAAATGTTGGACGGCCCTGGCCCCAACTCTGCCTCTGATGCAGAGCCCTTGTCAGAGCCTTCCCCAGACTCCAGGACTGGCCCACATTCACCCCAAACCTCCTCACTGTCCGAGTCTGCTGCCAGCTCCACTGGTGGGCCACAACAGCTGTTTCCAGGGCAGCCCTGCAGGCCAGATCTAAGCACCCTGCTGGATCCGGCCCCTGGGCCTTGAGTTTGACACCCCTGCTGTAGAGAAGCCTTGAGTTTTGATGTTAACTTATTGAGGTAGGCAAGGCCAGGAAGCAAGACTTATTGAGAGTCTTGAAACATACTCTTGAAAAAGACAGTTAAGGTATTCTAATCAAACATTGAAACCTCCTCAAAGCCCTTCTCTGCCTCAACTTATCCCTAACTCAATCAAGGCAGAATCGCTTTGAATTTCTCTCTCACGCTTTCCCAAGACTGCAAGATAGATAAATAGATAGATAGATGGATGGATGGATGGATGGATGGATGGATAGATGATAGATAGATAGATAGATAGATAGATAGATAGATAGATAGATAGATAGAGATAGAGAGATAGATAGAGATATATAGATATATATAGATAAAATATATATTAATATATATTTATATATATATATAATTTTTTTTGTGGTGGCTCTATCTTCTGCTGAACTTCTACTTCCTTAGTGAAAAATCACCAAAAATGCGCCAACGGGGAGTCCTTTTCCTTTAGGTTCCCTCTGAAAAAGTTTGGTCTGGATATCAGACTTCAGACAATCCGCCTCACCCTGTGCTCTTCCCTGCAGTTCCTTGCGGAGCCTCTTGGAAGGCGAGATGGAACATTCGGCGGGACTCCGTCAAGAGGTGGACAACCTGAAGAAGAAAGTTTCAGAGCACGAAGAGCATTATACAGTGAGGATCCAGGCCCTGGCAAGGTAGCGGAGTGGGCTAGGAGGTGGTTTTACTTTGGGTTTCTGCAAAACACCACTAGCACTTTGCAGCCCTCCCTGAGCGGTTTACAGAGTCAGCCTCTTGTCCCCCAACAATCTGGGTCATCGTTTTACCCACCTCAAAAGGATGGAAGGCTGAGTCAACTTTGAGCCAGTCAGGATCGAACTCCTGGCTGTGGGCAGAGTTAGCCTGCAACACTGGATTGTAACAACTGCATCACTATGGCTTCCTTCCTTCCTTCCTTCCTTCCTTCCTTCCTTCCTTCCTTCCTT